ATACGTTTGATGTTCTCCATTCTATAAAATGAAAGAAAATTTCTGAGTACCTGCATGCCAAATCGATGCGTGTGCATGTCAACAAGCCTTCCGCGATTGTTATTAGTAATGGAAACTGGCTGCACTTTAGTACTGTACTGTACTGTACTGTATTAATTCAGCAGACTGGCAGAGGCCAACTGGCAGTCGGGCCTATTTTTGATGACAGAGAACTGAAGAGTGAGGGACGATGTAGTTTCATTTTTTTTATTCCAAAATCAGGCACGCTAACACCTCCATATGCAATGATGTTTTGTACCACGGCTGAACGCTAACACTATCCTGCATAAGTAAGGCAAAGTTTGATAAGTATAAACTGATCTTCAAAAGATAATTGAGTTCGAGCCAGAATGAGATTTCTTTCAAAAATATACCGAGGACAAATTCACGTTTGTACTGAACAAAGGCATACCTTTTATGTTGTTTTTTTATTTCTTCTAATCTTCAACTTCTCTTCAATCTTCAGTAATTTTCTTCTTGATTTACAGAGGCCGATGTCACTATTTGTCACTTCTTCAATGTCTTCCTAATGCTTCGTTCTTCTTTCGAAGTGCTGTGAAAATCTGATTCTCAACGAAAACTCGGTCCTATTTATATTCAAATTCCAAGCGGTAGGTCCATTTGTGGGTTTACACCCTTTAAGATTACTTTACGTGTACATAAATAGCATAATGCTGGTAAGGCAGGAATTGAACAGGGCCGGGCGACCACCAAACACGCCATGGAATTACCACATTGCGTTTTTGCGTGACAGTCCACCCCCTGGCAATAATTAATTCATTTAGTTAGCGCAATCAGATATTTTTGTGCAAACACATTATAAGCTAGTAATATATGACGCATTACATCCGACCACGGCCACCGCAATTTCATGATTCAACGTATTTGCGCACGATATTTTGATTAGCATTATTTTGTGCGCAAAATTCCGAAAAAAAAAACTTTAAAAAAATACGTGAATAACTTAAGTTATGAAGTGTTATACAGAATTATATTCGATGTTCCGCTGATCAGACTATACTAGCTATACTGAGATATTTTAATTAAACTTCTTGTAGTTGTTAAATATATGCTATATAATATCACAAGTTCATCACTTTGAACTATGTTTATGTTGACGTCACGCTAGATAGCCGAAATTAATTTTTTAAATTTATCAATTAGCACACAGTACGTTTTCCATCACCGATCTGCATGTGTTTACATATATAAAACATATGTTTCTGATGACCTTTTAAAACCACATTTATATAATACGTGCTTGCATTCTCTTAAACAAATAATTTTGTGTGCAAATGAGTGATAGTAGTAGGCTTAGACAGTCTCATGCAGCTACAGATGTTTAGGCGTAGACAAAAAATAGGCCAAAACATCTCAAACGTAACAAAAACATTGCGGATTAGCTGATACAGTATAGCATCCCCAATTGTGATGTTTTGTCAATAAATATAGGTTATGAACCGATTGGCTAGGAAGTAGATGCGTTCTGACAAGTTCGCGAGATATTAATTCGGTTGACACAAATGACGAAAATTCTGGAATCGAATAACACTGGATATACTTATTGTTCCCGTAAAGGAACTTACTAGTTACTGTTGTTGTTTTCTTGGAAAACTAGACAAATAACTTACTGGCTAGAAACTTATAATTTGAGAATTTCATTAGAAAATCTATTATGAGAAAGGTTTAATTGGTGGGATTGCTTTTTCTAACTTAAAAAGCAAATTTGCAGAATGAACGTAGTTCAAAAGAAACATGCATATAAAGTAGTACATTATCGCAAGTTGAAATTTATATTAGAGGTAATAAAGGTCAGTGAAAACACAGTTATTAACAGAAAGATAGACATCAGAGCAATTCCCCCGAGTAAGAAAACTGATAAGGCTCTTAGTTTTTTTTATGTTTTTGTTCGTCCTGAATTCTGGACGAAGTAAATCGGTCAGTTCTATATAACCGGCTTTTAATGCGCGCGCGGCGCCTTCGTTTTCGGCATGTAAATTAACCGATGACTAAAATTTGAGCCCGCTATATATCTTTTTGGCTGACAATAATGAATCGCCTAGTTAAATTTACTGAAAAATAAACGTATAGGAATTGTAAAAGGTAATATAAACTAGCAAGTTATAGCAATTGTAAAAAGATAGTATATTGAATAGGGTTGACTCACATAACATGATATATGACAGATAACATGATAGATTTGGAAATGTTTTTAATTGATGTTGTCGTAATTGCTGTAATTGTACAGCGAGTACACGCGACGGCATGCATGTGTATGTAGCTATAATTCTCTAGGCTATAAATAGCGCACGCGCATTAATCTAATTCATCGCATTAAGCTCTCGTTATTAGGGATGCAATTACCTGTTCCTTTAAAAAACATGTAGCTATAAGATCATAAGATCTAACCACCACAATTAGTGGTTGAAAAAAAAATGAGAATCTTCAGAGTATAGTTAAATTAATCAAAAACAAGAAGCGCGTGGATTGATTGTGGTTTTCACCGCACCTGACAGGATACAGCATTGCGGTTTATTGTTTTAGTTAGTCGGTTGTTTCCCCTTTGCTAAAGTGTAAAGTGTTGATTAAAAAAAGGAGCTGAAATTCTACTTTAGGGAAAACTTTAGATTTTACTGTTAAGCTGACACATTCGAAATTTTAATATTATAATATCATACTCCAAACTTATAAATGTTACACTGTCCGATGCATAAAACCAAAAGCTTTGGTGCTTATAATGTTATTGAATTACCCCCAGCAAGACCCTTAATTGTTAAAAGTTTGTTTACACTTTCAAAGTTTCTGTGATTACAGTAGGAATTTCGCATATGTTAATTTTAAATAGGCTAAGAAATGTTTGAGTGAACTGAGAGGGTCGTGAAGGGGTAAAATGGGAACTGGGATTTGCTTATTTTTGGGTGGGAAAATGGGATTTCATGCACTGGGACTGGGATTCATCAGCAAAAAAAAAACAATAGAAAATGGGAATGGGATTAAGGTTTGAGCAGGACAGCCACTGAGATGATGGGATTTGTGCTCTGGGACAATGGGGTTGGGGAGAGAGAAATGGGGAATACATTTATGGGACCCTCAACTGACTCAGTGTTAAACAACGAGTCATTTCCCACAACTGACATTTCTTACAAATCCGCGATCCTTCAAAACGTAGAACTGATTTGCCCATGCACTAAAATTCCTACTGTGATCACCAAAACTTTGACATGCGCACGTGTAAATTCGGTTTAACACTCATATAGTATAACCAAAACATTTAATGCAACATATATGCAAAACCTACATTAGCTAAACTAACTTTTTACCGAATGGCTGTATTAAGAAGAACTTAAGGAGAACTTGGTGGGGCCACCCTGATTGATGGAACTGTATGGTTAATTGTCCCATCTTACCATGCACAGGAAAAAATAACCCTAAACTGTTCTTTCTAGAGATCTAGTAAGGTGATTCTCCCACCAATCCTGCAGAGCTATAACTACAGGAATAAACTAAAAATAAATAAAATTATTTGAACCGGATTGCGCATTCATAATTTGTGTCTAGACTGTTCTCACACGAAGTCCAGCATGGGACCATCCTTACATATAATTCCTGTAGTATGTCTCACTAAATCTAAACTAATTCTTTATTTATATACTGGATAGGTTTATTAGTTTCAAACCATTTTCCTTAGATACCTATTCGGGACCAGCTCAAATTTGTTCGCGCGAGGCGACTATTCTTTTTGTCGGCTTCGCTTGCTACGTCAGCAACAGCATTGCTCACAAAGGAAAACGTGGCTTCGCGGGAATAAACTCGGCTAGTGGAAAACAGGCTCAGTAAGGCCTAATTCCACGACGAGCGAAATGCGAAAAATTTCGCGCGAAAACGCACATGCGTTCAACCTTTTCGCGCGAAATGTTTCGCATTTCGCTCGTCGTGGAATTAGGCCCGTTTAATGGCCCAGTATTGCTAGTAATTAAATAGGCCTCCTGAATAAAAATTGCTTGAATGAATGAAAACTCTTACTTATCAGTTCTTGACAGTTCGAATTTTCCCAATGGCCCATGCATGCATGCAGTCCCTATATAATATAGGTTCCTGTCGCCAGTTTTCCCTCGACTATGCACCTATCAATGTCTTCGTCCAACAAGGGGAATGCGAACACTAGCAGTTGACTAAAAGTTAATTCCTACAATCTTGGACAAAACCCTTGAGACCATTCCAGCTAATATGACAAAGTTATTGAACATTGACAAAACAAACTTTGTCTCCCCCCCCCTCCCCCAGTTCAATGTTGTGAACAACGCCGAAACAACTTTTGGTAATATACGATGATACAAGCTCAACATTGAGTTGGGGGAGCGGGGGCTTAAGAAGGGCAACATGATTCAACATGGAGTTTATCATAAAAATATGTGAATTTTCTATAGGGGGAAAATAGTCTCAACCAGTTATGTCCGAGATTGTAGCTTGTGGGGAATTTTTGTATTCTTCTGAGGGTGTGGATTTTAGATATTTTTAGATAAATTCGAGTTTTGATGACTCTTGAGGAACATTTCAACATTGCAAACATTTCAACGGGGTTTTTGAAACGTCTTGTAGTGAAAACAAGATATACAGCAGTGATCGAGATTATGGGTACGCGGAGTGACGTAAGAAGATATGGCGTCACATGCAGTCGTACTTGTAGCCAAATCTAGAGCTCTCTAATTGATAGGTGCTTCTGGGGCTAATACTGTTTTCTCGATTATAAATAATGAGTCGGGAACTGTGAATGTTTCGCGTGACGCATTACAAAGTAATTACCGTTGTTTTGTACACGGACCCTCCATGCATGAACAACAACAGTAGCAAGTTCAAGTTTACAACAGTTGTTTATTTCGTATACATCTCAATTAACGAAAACTACTTCCCATTCGGTGACTGAAGGTTAAGAAAACAACTAATACAACTCCAGGTTGGGATTCTAGTGTGCATGGCTGTTTGGCGATGAAAACGGAAAGAGTGAAAGGGGGATTAAATTTTGTAATTTTAAATATTTCTGATGGCCCATGCCATCAATATATTATACACCGTTATACTGATCAGATACTAGGACTGAATCTTACCCCGCGTATTTCAGTTGTAATGTTTACAAATGAGCGATAGTGTTGTATATCAGAGGTAAAAAAACAACTTGCGAAAAGCTACATCCATGGCATTCATCATGCAAAGCGGTTGTTTTAGAAATTTGATTGGATGAAAAGTCTAAAAATTCATTAGTAATCATTCATGATTTCACAAAATATGATAAAAGAAAGTAAATACCTACCTATACCTAAAATCGGAAAATGTTTTGTGCATGATTGGTTTTCTGCAACAAAATGCTGATCAGTGTTTATAACGTCTCACTAATTCACACTAATTTGTATATTGTTGGTATCCGGTAATTACATTACTGTGCATGTCGTTTCAGCATATAAACAACCTTGCAATAATTTATTTATATGATATTAATTCTGACTGAGGCGTTGTCGAATTTCCGGGAACCATGCAAGGCACCATACAATACCAAGTTCAAGTTTATTTTTGTTTTTCTAACAAAGTCATTAATTTAATATCTTCCCACTGGCCTTGCCTTCTTTTAATAGAAGGCCGAAAAAACTGAAAAGGAAATGCCATTTCCTGCATTTCTGGTTCTAAATTCAATCACTTGATAGACAAGAAAAAACGTGTTTCATGTTCGGTTTAGTGGTAGTTTAAACGACGTATTCAGGGGGACTTTAATTAATGGTGGTCTATAATAGCTATAGTCCAGTCTAGACCCAGGCCTTTACTCGGCTGGTAATTATCGCACTGGTCATTTCCTTCGTAGAGGCCTAGTAGATTTCACAAGTTCTCAAATTAGCCCCCATAAATTTGTGATCCGAAATTGATCAGAAACCAACAACTAAAGCAATTTATACTGTCCAGTAGTTATTACATTAAATATAAAAACATTTTATGACTAAACTGAGTTCTATTTTGTAGTAATATTTTGACTCATTTTGAAGTTTCGCATCATAATAATAATGTTGCTTCAAGTAAAAAAAAAACCGAGTTTCTAGGCGTGTATACAAATAATTATAGTAAGTTTATACTATAAATGAGTTTATTTTACCTGTATCGGTTTAAATTCGCTGTTAAGTTGCAAATAATTCTGTGTTCGAGAACGCAATAATTGGGCATTTCGCAACCAGGGCAGTTTCAGGGCAGTTTTGGCCTTGTTGTTGGGAAATCCACTAGGCCTTTTATTTTTTCGCTTGCGTCATCCTCCGCCCCGCCCCCAAATCACCTAGTCCCAGTCTTTTTATGTGAAAAAGCGCTGAATATTAAAAAAATAATAAAAATAAAGGGCCTAGGTCTAGGCTGGCTATAGTCGAATGAAGTATAATTGAACTCAAGATTTGAACTGCCTGTAGTGTAGATGTGCCTTTTCTATATATTTCTCAAATTCATTAATAATTCATGAGCAATTCAGCCAATGATAATCACCTATTTGATCACAAGATGCCATTTGGATAACCCAGTGAAACTTGATGAAAGTCACTAGTGTTTTCATCAAATATCTTAATTACGCATGCAAAATTACTTGAATAGAATACCTAATTACGTTATACCTGGTTAAGAATTGTATTTAAATCAGCAAACGAAAACATCTCTGTTACGTTTAGATTCATTTGAGAAGCCATATAAACAACTCGAGCTCGTGTCTCATCGGGATATCCAAACACTCGAAAACAATGTATGAAAACACTCGCGCTTCGCGCTCGTGTTTTCATACATTGTTTTCTCGTGTTTGGATATCCTGATGAAACACTCGTTCTCGTTGTTCATATATTACTTCTATAATCTAGGATGAAAACTTCTCGAGTGTATGTGTCCAAACTGCGCGTACAGATCTATATGATTCTACTTGCCACGGCTGGATTTCGAACCCGCGACCTTCAAAATCCTAGCTCGACGCTCCTCGGCTAATTGCACAGTCAATTAGAAACGCATTAGCACTCGAGAACATCCGTAATCCTATTATAATATCGAGTGATCATGAACTATATCACATGCGACATTATATTTCTATATTTATCTGTGCCTTTAGCAGCTAGGCGATAAGAGGGTGACATAAAGCGATAACGGCACTGCAGGTATCTTTTTGTCACTGATAACGCTCCCCCCCCCCCCGGCCGCTATTTTAATAAATGTTGCATTTTTTATGATTATATTCTAATATGTTCTGCATCGGATCGGATTGGACGTTTATAATCCGACAATTGGCTAATGTTTGAAATCCGATCCGAAGAATCCTTTAAAAAAATAAATTTCTCATTCAAGTTGAAATATTCAATAACCAAATAAATATAAAAGCAAGAAATACATGTCAAGAAGCTGACAAAGTGACGTCCAATTGAAGTATCAAACGAATAATGCAGCGGCAACCGCGATAATGCTTTGATAAATGCATAGATAATTATTCTTGTGATAATGCGTGGATAATTAATTTATTTTATTTCGAATATCGAAGTCCGATCCGATCCGATCCGACTACGAAACAACTTTATCAATCCGATCGGATATGTGTATTTTTGTTCCAAAATCCGAACGAATCGGATCGGATTTGTACACCTCTAGTTCTGCATGACCCTGATATAAAGGCACAGGTATATACAATAAAGAGGTTAGCATAAGCGGACGAGTCGATCATCAGTTTTATCGCTTTCAGAACGATTTGTGCCAGCTATGATTTCGTGCCTCAATCGATAAAACTGATATCGCCTCGCTCCTCATATGAAACTTATACCTGTATACATATCTATATGCATATAACATGCTTCAAATATACAAGAAAGATATTTATACGTTATCTAGTTTAAGGGAGCTAATTCCCCCTATGCCACATTTTCGGCCTAAGCCTCCCCTCACTGCGGCGGCTCCGATGTCGCCGACGGTTACAAAGTGTGTGTGACTACCGCTGACTGTCGCAACAAAACACTTTTGTTTCTAAAACAACATTGAACTCCCGTTCTGACATTAAATATTTATTTTCTTTCTAAAACTTTCACTTCTGTTCATAATAATTATTTAATTTTTAATTCCATATGTAGGATCATGCATGCAGTACACGGAAAGTTTAATATTTTCTTATTTTTGCAACGCTTCAAAGCCGTATAATCCTATATGTAGGAAATTCAAAATTAAAATAATTTATATTAAATAATTAAATCCATGCAAGTATAACGTCTTCTTTCGTCTGTTTGTGTAGGCGAGCGTTCTTTTCTACCAGACAGCGTTTTAATGTTCAACCATGCACAAATAGAATATTTTTCGTTTTCCATGGCTCCAGCTGAAGGCTCTAAAAGTGAAAAATGTATAAGTATCTTTAAACATGATTGATTTATAATTAACGTTTTAGTTATAGCCAATAAGGCAATATGTAGGAACTGACTTGATTCAGTGTACAATATTAAAATGCCTTGCAATACTAGATTAATTAGTAAAATGAGTTATGAGTTGAATGAATTAAAACATATATTCTATACTCTTACTTATACTTACAGTCTTAGCGGCCTCGCGGATTCCGCGGACATCGAGGTTTCGACGGCGGACAAAATCCGTGCGATTTCACCGATCGTTTCAATCTTAAGAACCGTCTACATCCTCCTGGCAGCCTAGAAATCCATCGCGGGCAAATCTCCGATAATGGTCCCACTTTTTGGTTCGTCTTGACGTCGAAATTGCTTGGTCTTGCTGTGCTCAATATAACCATGAGAGAAAAGGCGAGAGCATAAATGAAAAAGATATGTCCAAATGTCTTCATTCTACAAACACAAAATACAGTGTTCATGAGTGATTGATTCACCATTGAAATTAATTAAGTTTTATATATAGGCAAAAACTGATGTGGTCAAAAGTACGGTGAGGGAATCTAATTAACAACTATATAAAGTGAAATTCCTATGCTCAGCTGCATGTATATGCTGGTGTAAAACAAAAATAGATACCTTGTATATATTGGCAAAGTTTTCTTCTAATTTTCAACCACTATGATTTCGTGCTTCACTTTCCACATCAGGTGTTATAGTTCTGCTTTCCACAAAATCATCCCCATATTTATACCCATCTTGATCTCATGTCAACTGATTTGAGAGAATCAGCCAAGGCGGGAGTATATAGCACACAGGCAGGACTCCAAAGTAACTAATTGCGGTCACCGATAAAATACTCTGCCGGAGATTATAGATAAAATACTCTGAGATATAAGATTTGGTGCGGACTGACCACTGTAAACGTTTATGCCTGACGTAAGAAAGGGCGCAACATTAATCCTGAAGGATGTGGTGAGGGACAGCTACAATCATTTTCAAAACAGAGTTGTTGGGACACTTGTGGTTTTAAATTATCAGTGGATATATGCGATTTATTACAAACAATTTATATATCTTCCTCCTCCGC